CATCCCCGCAGCCGATGCATGACGAAAAGCAATGGATTTCTGCTTAAAATGGGGTTTTCCCCAAATTCCTGGCTTAAAATGGCAGGCATGGCCCCTCCCAGCCTAAAAATTGGGGTAGAAAATATGGAAAATCCTCTTTTCCTCACACGGCAAGGAGAAGGAAGCGTGTCCTGCTCGCTTCTTCCGAGGGCAAGAGCCCCTGAGGGCGGGGGGGGGTGGAATTTGGGGAGATTCAAGGGCCCCCCCCGTGGCCACGCCCACACAACGCTCCAATGAAGACCCAGCAGCGACTCTCGTTAAATAACAGTAATTATCAAATACCCCCGAAAGCACATTAAATAAGCCCCAATTAAATAAACTTAAATAAACCGCCATTAAATAACCGCGAAATAAATACAATAAATAAATACCAGGGTGGGGGGGTGTCAGGTGAACAGCCCCGAGGTTGGATATGGGGCACCCATGGGTGCTAGGGGCAGCCCCGAAGGTGAGGTAGGGGTACCCATGGGTGCTGAATGTCTCTCAAAGTGCACGGCGAGGGGCACCCATGGGTGCTGGATGCCCTCACAGCCCTAAGGCCAGGGTGATGGGCCCCATAGTGTCTCTAGCGTGCTGGGTGCCACCTCAGGGCCGAGGTGAGGGGCACCCATGGGTGCATGGTGCCACCCTGTGGCCACTACAATAGGTACAGCTACCAGTCCAGCGCATCGGGCACAGTCCTGAGGCCACGGCGATGGGCACTGTGGGGTGCTGGGTGCCACCCCGAGGCAGAGGCGACCGTCTTGGGTGCCACCCTGAGGCCAGGGTGAGGGTCCCGGTGCTCCTCAGCGGGCAGTGCCTCCCGCTGTGCAGTTGTGGGGCCGCAGGGCAGGTGACAGCAGCAGACGAGGGCAAGAGGCACCCATGGGTGTCCCCATGGGTGCTGCTGGTTTCCCCACCAGTGTCCCATTAAGTGTCCAGGTTGTCGCCGTGGGTGTCACAGCAGTCCTAAGCAGCGCTCCGTGCCCAGGCAGGGATGTCACAGCAGGCATCGTGGGTGTTTCGGGTGTCACCAGGGATGTCTCGGGTGTCACCGTGGGTGCCTCAGGTGTCACCACGGCTGTCGCAGCCACCTCGGGTGTCACGTCTCCGGGCGCGCTGTACA